CTGGAGGCAAAGAAAGGGTAGGTGCAGCTGTTGCTTCCTGTAGGTGGCAGTGTAGCTCTGTTTATGGATCTGAAGGTTAGCTGCAGCTGTTGCTTCCTGTAGGTGGCAGTGTAGCTCTGTTTATGGATCTGAAGGTTAGCTGCAGCTGTTACTTCCTGTAGGTGGCAGTGTAACCAGTGTTGGGTATTTCAAATCTAAACCAATATTTTGTTTCTACCAACCAGGTGAATACTCTGTGACTGTGACTCTTTATGCTCAGCTGGCCGGTAGAAACAAAATATTGGTCTGGATTTGTAGCTTCTGGACCTGAAATGCCCAACACTGAGCGTAACACTGATTAAAGGCTAATATTGTAGTTGAAGATGATGCTTTCTTAAAGGGATACAAGTTTTATATCCATTTTATCATTGGCTAAATCAACTTTTTTGCTTAAATTTAAAATAGTAATACCGTAAAGATATAATAACAGGCATCTTAGGCTCACACTCATTGCAGTGGCTCTGTGCTAATCTTCCTGTTACTTCCTTAATAATAAGACACTAGACAGACTCTTTCTACACACACTTATCTGAGCTTTCCCCTTTATTTTTGTCTGCATGGACTTTGCAGTGATGGGTGAGTGTTCACTGGGCTGGGGAGTTTACAGTATTCAGTGTTATCACACATTCCTCATTCTCACAGCGCGCTGTTATTTACAGAAACAATATCACCTGGCAGTTAAGCATTGATTTCTCAAACACCATAATGAGGAGCTGTTTGTAATTGCTGATGACCCATTTATTATTGTAATACCATAATTACAAGTTTTTCTCTATCTTGCTTTTAGGTCACCTACCAAGGTGAGTAATAATATATTATCTCTTTCTTTTGTTTCAGTGCCTCACTGTATTGTTGTTTTGCGGGCTTACATTACATATTTATGACAGGAGAGGTTTTTGACATTATGTGTCAAAGCAGTTCTGAGTTCGTTCATTGTTGTATCACATTAGGAATTGATGACACCATGCCTTAATGTCTCCTCCATTGTTTCACGCCATTTGTCTGTTTTAACCTTGTTCGTCTTCCAGGATTCCCCTACCAACAATGGACATCCAGCCTCAGCTGCAGACAGCGCTGCTGGTGATGATGCAGCCACCAGCCAGCCTGCTGCAAGGTGAGTGTCCAATCATTGCTTCCTTTAAATGGTCCTAGTAGGCGGAGGTGGACATTTCAGGTCCAGAAAGTAAAAATCCAAACCAGGATTTTGTTTCAACCAACCATTTGAGTATATAGAGCCACAGTCACAGAGTACTCAACTGGTTGGTTGAAACAAAATCCTGGTTTGGATTTTTACTTTCTGGACCTGAAATGTCCACCTCTGCTAGTAGGTGACATCTCTCTGTTTGTGTTGGGATAGTGGTGGACGTTTAGGGTCATGTCCTTTGCGGAAGGTTAGGTCACTGCAGCTTTCCCCCTCTGTAGTTCCAATGACCTGCTAGGTCTGGACCTCCTCGCTGAGCCCTCCCAGCCAGCAGAGGCAGCTCCGGCAGCTGCGACAGCTGCATCATCCTGGGGAGGTAACCTGCCAGTGCTCCCGTACATTGGCCGTATCCCCCCTTCACCTTTCACCTTATCTGACTGGCTTTGTACATTTATCTGGGTGCCATAGCAAGGAAGTCCTGATATCCATAGTGACAATGCCCCGTTAGCCATAGCGAGTAAGCCCTGTTAGCCATAGCAGGTAAGCCCCTTTGTCAAAGCAAGGAAGCCTCATTAGCTTCAACGAGTAAGGTCCATTAGCCATAGCGAGTAAGCCCCATTAGCCAAAGTAAGTAAGGCCCATTAGCCATAACAATTAAATCCAGTTAGCCAGAACATGGAAGCTCTTTTAGCCATAGCAAGGAACCCTATTGGTCATAGTGAATAAACCCTTTTAGCCATAGCAAGTAAGCCCCATTAGCCATAACGAGGAAGCCCTGTTAGATATAGCGAGGAAGTCCTGTTAGCCATAACAAGGAAACCCTGTTAGCCATAACAAGTAAGCCCCATTAGCCATAGCAAGTAAGCCCTGTTAGCCATAGCAAGTAAGCCCCATTTGTCAAAGCGAGGAAGCCCCATTAGCTATAACGAGTAAGACCCATTAGCCATAACAAGTAAACCCTGTTAGCCATAGCAAGGAAGCCCTTTTAGCCATAGCGAGAAGCCCCATTAGTCATAGCGAGTAAGCCCTGATAGCCATAGCAAGTAAGCCTCATTTGTCAAAGCGAGGAAGCCCCATTAGCTATAACAAGTAAGGCCTGTTAGTCATAATGAGTAAACCCTATTAGCCATAGCAAGGAAGCCCTTTTAGCCATAACAAGTAAGCCCCGTTAGCCATAGTGAGGAAGCCCTTTTAGCCATAGCAAGTAAGCCCCATTAGCCATAGCGAGGAAGCCCCATTGGTCATAGTGAGGAAGCCCCATTGGTCATAGTGAGGAAGCCCCATTGGTCATAGCGGGGAAGCCCCATTGGTCATAGCGGGGAAGCCCCATTGGCCAAAGTGAGTAAGCCCCATTAGCTGTAGAGATAATGCCCTGTTAACCATAGTAGGTAAACCCAATTAGCTATAGAGAGGAAGCCCCATTAGCCGTAGTGAGTAAGCCATAATAAGGAAGCCCCGTTAGCCATAGTGAATAAGCCATAATGAGGAAGCCTCGTTAGCCCAATTAACCATGTGAGGACCGGCTCACGTGTATATGGGTGGTGCAGGGTTGGTATCTCTCTCGCATCTGGTGTGATGTGCTTTCAGACTCTCACGCTCAGACAAGAAGTCTTATGGTAAACCTAAAATTAGGTAACATCAAAAGCTTTGGGGCAGTTTGCAAGCCCTACAGACTATTTACAAGGTAATAAAATTCGTAAATACACGTGTCTCAAATTGGAAATCTCACTCCAGCCAGCTGACCTAAGTTGGCAGCCCTTGCAATGTGTGGTGTATAGATCTGTGCCAGTGGCCAGAACATTGTGGGTTCAAATCCTGTGCTAGCAGTGTAATCATATCACTTGAGCCCTTGAGCATGTCCCTTATCGTCTAGGCTGACTATACTCTCTGAGCCCACAAAACGTTTCTCACTTGCGTCTGTTATATATGTAAATGTGACCTTATGCCTTGTCCGTGGTTCTGATCCGTTCCCTCGCTGCTTATTATTTCTCCCCTCTGCCTCGTTCCCTGGACTGCTGCCCCAGATCTGCTGGCGGAGGGTGAGTACTGAGCAGACAGCCCCTTCCACACGGATGCTCTTTTCTTATTCATGGCTCTTTCTTGCCTTACAGCATCTTTTGCTACTTTTTCCTTGCTTTGCATTATATTTCTCTCTCCTTACGGCCATGTTTGGGGTGTGTGGCAGAGTGCTTAGTCGTGCCAGCTGTTGCCATTAGCTCTGCCGAACCCTCTGCTGCCGTAGACTCTGCGCCCGCTGCTGCTGAGGCGACCCCCACGGCTACGGCGGGTGAAGCTGCCCCTCCCGCGGCTGCGGCCTCCGGTTCCACTGAAATGGACCTTTTCGGAGGTTAGTAAACGTCCCTGTGCCTTTTTGAGACTCACTAGTTAGGGAGAGGCTGGGAAGCGTGCTTGAGAAGTGTTGCAGACACCTCCAGTGTTTATGCTGTGCATCCTGGGAAAAGATTAGCTGATTCCCGAAAAGAAAATTATTGGTTTGGGTTCATTTGCATGTATGTGTAGGAGACAAATTAGTATTTCAGAATATCTCCCAAAAGCCCCCAGTCTAGAAAAAGGAAAAGCCACTTACTAGACACCGTCCTATGTTTTATAGCTCCATATATTTTCGTATGGAAAATAGTTAGAAATATCAGGTTCTATTGTGAGTCGAAATGCCATACAATGGTGCATAAACACAGAAGATACTGAAAAGTTCTCTTTGAAATGCCATCATCAGCTATGTGCCATCACCATTTATGTACAATTCCTGTTGTATAAAATGTTTGTGTTGTGGTATCAAATTTTATTCTCGTCTCTGGCTGTGAGGCTTTTTCTCTCAGTTCAGGCTCTCCTTGTCCCTTCCCTGTTGGCTGTTATTTCTTTGTTCTATGATACGTCATTATTCTCTGTCCTCTGATTGGCCATCTTTTTTCTTTTTTTCCACTCTATTTTCTTTTTGTACTCTTGGTCCTATTTACCTTTATTCCTCCCTTGCATGCACCCGTGTCCGCCTGAATATCCCAACGTCGTAGATGCATTTGCAGCGCCATCTGGTGGTGGTGCGATGGCTGGCGAGGCAGGGGTAGCTCCGCCCGCGCCGGCAGCTGACGCAGCTGTTGGATCTGGTGGGTGGCGAGACTGTGTGTTCAGTGTGCAAGGTCTCTGTCTGTCCTTTCAAAGATTGTGCGTGTTCAATGTATGTTTTGTGTGTTTTTCTGTGTATGTGAACATTCTCTCTGTTCAGTGTATATTCACTTATACACAATTATTTGAATGTGTGTGTGTGTATGTTCTCTGTATATTCTTTTGGTGTGTATTCAGTGTATGTTCTCCATGTATATTCTTTGAGTGTGTGTTCAGTGTTCTCCATGTATATTCTTTGAGTGTGTGTTCAGTGTATGTTCTTTCTGTATATTCTGTGAGCATGTGTTCGGTGTATGATCTTTGTGTATATTCTTTGAGTGTGTGTTCAGTGTATGTTCTCCATGTATATTCTTTGAGTGTGTGTTCAGTGTATGTTCTCCATGTATATTCTTTGAGTGTGTGTTCAGTGTGTGTTCTCCATGTATATTCTTTGAGTGTGTGTTCAGTGTATGTTCTCTATGTATATTCTTTGAGTATAAGTGTATGCTCCTGAGTGTGTATGTGCATTGTATGCTATGGATGGTGGATCTCCTGTTGTATGTGACTGTAGCTCACTGTAGCTGATGGTGTCGTGGGGATGCTTATTCCATTGCCCATCAGACTGTCCCCTGGGTCCTTCTGTCCCTCACCCATATTCTCTTCTCCTTTCCCTCCATATTCATCCATCTTCTTTTCCTTCCACACCCTCCCTTATTATCTTTGAGTAGAAAATCACTTAAATCCACATTTTTTGCAGTCAACTTCAGCTGATCAAAGCAGCAATGGGCCTCATGTGTCTAGCCAGCAGGGGGTGCAGTCTGGCCTAAAGGTTCTTTTACCCGGCTATAGCTTGCAATGGCTACATCTCACTCAGCTGTCAAAGTACTTGGATGAAATCTACACTCCTGACTGCTGAGGGAATACTTTTAGGACATGTATGAATGGACTTTGTTCAGGAGAACCTCAGAGGAGCCCTGGTAGGGGCACGGCGGCTCCATCCTGAGAGAGCATTTTGTAGAAGCTTTTAGCAGGTTCTGCATTAACAACAGTTCGCAACATTTCCTTTATTTTCCATGAATAATGATTCTTTTGTCATCTGAGCTTCCTGCCTGGTCTGTGTCAGTGTCTGTTGAGTAACCGCTTCCTCTCCTTTGAAGACGCCTTTGCGGAATCCATGGTTAGTGCAGAAGCTGCCCCTGAGGTGGATCTCTTTGCTATGAAGCCCGCAGAGACCGCCCCCACTGCAGTAGCGCCCCCTGCTGCCTCTGCAGCTGCCTCTGCAGCTCCTGGGCTTGACCTCTTTGGTGGTAAATCTTCAGCTTCACTACATGCCTTCTCCGCTCCTCTTGGTTCCGTTGGCTTTTTGCTTAGTTAAATGAAGCAGTCAAAGGCTGGATTAAAGGAGCAGCAAAGCCGGTCAGGTGTAGGCCAAGAGCAGGTTGAATGAAGCGGGAGAACTTTGGATGAATCATCTATAATGGCTGGGCTCGGATCTCGGATCAGGCTTCAGTTTAACTTCCAGATCCAGTGGGGTCTGGCAGGGAGCAGCTTCACCAATCACAGGAAATGTATGAGTTTTCCCTGGCTAAACATCAGGTATCTGTGCTGGTGTATTGGTCTTACCTGAGCTTTTCCTGTCCTCTCTTCAGTGGTAACTTTTACCAAACCAGGTGATTTCAGATGGTTCTTTTATCTGTGTGATTCTTTCGTCTTTGTTCGCTGATGCTCTACCACCACTACCCCCAGCTCCTACTCTGATATTTCTCTCAGATAAAAAGTGTTTTCGGCAGCTACACCGTTCATTTCACTTTTTAATTTTTTTCCCATAATGCACTTCCTCTCCCTTTGACACATTTGCATTTATTCACAACCCTGAATGTTTTGCCTGGTGTCAGTGTGTTGCTTTTGGAGGCTGCTTTGCTCATCCAGATTTCGTATGGCTGCCTCTCTCCTCCTGTCTGCCCTCACTGTCCTTCTCCCTCACTTGGAAGGCCCCCCTGCCTCCTCTCGGGGAGCTTCTCCTCTCCCGGAGGCCGCTGGTCTCTTGCCGGGTGAGTGCCACTCTCCCTATCTCACTGGTCATGCTCTTCCTGTGCTGTAGGTCTTATTCTTGACTTGTGTCGTTTGTGTCCTTTGTGGATGTCCTCATACTTCCTGTGGAAAGAGTGTCAAAGAATTAATAAATGATGTAATTATATGGTGGTTTTTGGGACATCAGAATAGTCTATAAGTCATGACGGGTCATACACCGGTTATGTCATGCAAGATATCCTTTCATCCAGCCTGGAAAATGTGAGACGACATAGAGGCGACTTAATATTTAACATTTTAATAATTCAGAATTAGGAATCAAGTAATGTGTGTGTTTGCATGTGTGTGTGTGTGTTTGCATGTCTTTGTGTGACTGTGTCTGTATGTCTTTGTAAGTATGCATGTGTCTAGACGTGTTTGCATATCTGTGTGTTTTTACATATGTTTGTATGTCTGTGTGTTTGCATGTATGTTGAAATGTCTACATTTGCATGTCTGTGTGTGTGTGTGCTTGCATGCCTGCATGTATTAGCGTGTGTTTTCATGTCTGTGTCGTGTGTTACACTCTGCAGATGCCTTCTCCGCCTCTACACCTGCGGCCTCTGCAGTGACTCCAGCCAAAACTGAGGCAGAATCCATCTTAGACCTGTTTGGGGGTGTGTACCTCCACCTTTTCCTGGCTACTTTGATCCTGGATTTGACACTTCAGCATTGCAACATTCCTGACTTTATCTTCCTGACCCGATGAACCTTTATGTCGCACCTTTTTCTGGAGCTTTGCTTGGGTCATTCGCAGTAAGGAATCAGCATGTCGTAGATCTAACTGTGCTCACCAGATGCCTGACAGAGTCAGCCCCTCTTGAGGACTTTTTCTAGAACATTTTGTAATCTGCTGTCTGCTTTCCGGAGTTCTTGCAGATTGTGTGTGTTCTGAACTGTTTTTTTGATTATCATACACTTCCTGTAAGTATCAGAGTCGAAGTAACCTACCCTCTTACCTGTAGGACCCTCTTTGGTAGTCATTTAGAGTAGCAGGTCATAGCACATGGGGATCCTGAGTGTGTGTGAGCATTTGTGTGATCCAGGTATACCTTACCTTGTGGGGACCAAATGTCCCCATAAGGTGATGAATACCTGTCTTTTTTACCTTATGGTGACCAGTTTCTTGGTCCCCATATGGGAAAATTCAATTTTATAAAAATCCGTGATTGCAATGGAAAAACAAAAAATGCAATAACTCTTGTATTTTGCTTGGTTACTTATGGTTATGGTTAGGGCTGGGTAGGGGTTAAGGTTGTCATAGTTAGCATTAGCATTTTTCCCATAGAAATGAATGAGCAGTCCCCATAAAGATATGTTTACCTGTGTGTGTGTGTGTGTGTGTGTGTGTGTTTATGAGCCATGTTATTTCAGTAAAAGGCTCTTTGTGTCCAGATGGTCATACCATTCTCTACCTTCAGATCCCTTTGGTGGATCCACCACAGAGTCCCAACCAGCTGCTGCTCCTACGGTTGGCAGTGACCTTCTGGCTGGTACGCACAACACACCACATGCACAACACACCACACGCACAACACACCACACGCACAACACACCACATGACACCTCAAATTACACCCATAGCATCTTAAAGCACACCCAGCTATACACAAAAGGATTTTCATGTACATTTAGTCTATTCTGTCTCAAATCATCCTCACTGTGTGATAGACATGACTCGTTAATGAAATCTCAGTAAGATCTGTGTTTGGTTATTTATCCACAGATAGACACCTCTATATTCCTTTAAACATTGGTGCTGACTGACATGCACGTGAAGAATTGTGCGCTCAGTGAAAAGATGATATTTAGTGATTATTTGTATCCTGCAGGTCTCATGAGCACTAGCCCAGCTGTCGCTGCAGTGACGGCAGCACAAACCAACGCGCAACCTGCTTTGAACATGGGCTTTGGATCTGCTCCAGCCCCAGGAGCACCCTCCGGTGGCCTGGATTCCTCAGGTTCGATATTTATAAGGACGGATTTTTAGGAAAACTGTCGGTGTCATATTCATTATATGATGATGTAACTGCACTATTGTAATGTTTTGCTGCTGGAATGTTAGTCTTCCTATGTATAACAACAATAACAACAACAATAATAATAATAATATGTATGGCTGGTTTGATGCCATGTAATCATTTTAACTGCTTGGCCAGATGAGTCTTCCTCCAGGATAAGTGATATTCCAAGCCCTGTTAACTCCTCTGTGCCCCTAACTGTTGTCACCACGGTAGGATATGGACACACAGATCCCAAGAGCACTATGGTTGGCTACTCTGCCTGAGCCATTGTCTTCCTCATATTAGTGGCTGCTGTTAATTCTGCTGTCTTCACCATGATGTTCCTCTCTGTCCCTCTGTCCCTGTTCCGGCCCCTTTTCTCTTGAACACCTGTCTGTGGGCCATGCTTGCCTCCACTGCATGATGGTGAGTTCTGGCTTCGGTTCCAGCTTTTCTGAGCGCGGTAATCTGTAGTATGGGCTGTGCTGGTGTCAGAATTTGCAAGATGCAGTGAATATTCTGTTCTACATGACATCTGTCTTATTACCCTATATGACTGTATCAGGCAAGCATGGGCAAGATAGGATAACTTAAGGAGATTAATGAATGACTGTGGGTGAATGACTTGGTGGGTTAGGATGCTATGCTTGTGATCAGTAGGTTGCTGATCCAAGTCCTATGGGGACCATCCGGCCCCGATTTCTCAAATTGTATGTCGTTTTGAATAAAAGTGTCTGCTAAATTGTAATGGAGGTCTTTCTATTTCTAAGGACCATAATATGATGAAACACATGGATGCACATAACTGGTACGCAAGTACATATGCACTTTCAATGGGAAACCACAATTTGACTTGATTTAATAGCATATTTCATACTTTCTAACAACCTGTTGTGTCACCCTAAGGCCCCAAATTAGGGTTAGCTAACTGAAGCTAGGATTAGTGTTACGAAGGATACAGGCTTTTCAACCTTCAAAACCTGTTTTATGGTAGTTCAGGGCCCCCGTATAAAGGGAAACCACAGGTTAACTCGATTTAATAGCGTATTTCATACTTTCCAAAAGCCTGTTGTGTCACCCTAAGTCCCCGAATTAGGTTGAGCCAACTATAGCTAAGGTTAGGGTTAGAAAGGTTATGGCTCAGACATCAAAACCTGTTTTTATGATTGTTTAGGGTGCCGGCTAAAAAGCAGTATGTGCAGCAATCAATTGTTGTAACAGTGCAAATGCGTTTCTATTTTATGCAAATTTTTGCTCCTCCATCCATCCATCCATCCATTTTCTGAAACCGCTTAATCCCAACTGGGGTTGCGGGGCATTTGTGCTCCTATGACCAGAAATTACCATGCATTTCAACCCTTATACCCCAAATGAAATACAAATTAGCATATGAAGGTTAAAATGCATGATAATTTCAGCGCAATTTGATGCAAAATAAGTATGCATTTGCACTGTGATAACAATCGATTGCTGCACGTATCGCTTTTAAAAGTGATACCAGTTATGTGCATCCCTGCATATACTCTGTATTATTCTGCTCTAGACTATTCTGATTTCAGCTTATATTTATATGTTGTTTTCTTATATTTGTTTTTTCATCATGTGTGTTTGTACCTGGGGAGGAGAAGCTGAAATCATTTATGTTTGTTAAAACGCTGTTGAATTGACTTTAATTACACTGTAGATCAGGGTTTCCCAACCCAGTCTTTGGGGACCCCCAGACGGTCCACATTTTTGCTCCCTGCCAGACAGGCCACATTTCTGGTAGGGAGATGGGAGGGAGCAAAAACGTGGACCGGATTTCGGAGACACTGTTCTAGATCATTTCTTTGTCATTGCATCCTGTCAGCTAGTTGTCAGTCCAGTTATAGTCCCGGCTGTCGTTGCCATAATACCGTATGGTTGTCATGGTGATCCTCCTCATTGTTACCGCAGTGAAATAAGATTTTGGGGAATGAATATAACTTCTGTTTGTTGTTCTTTCTTCAATCCTCTGTATCTTTCCTACTTCTTCCCAAAGTCTTTGATGGATTAGGGAACATGCTCGCCCCTGCCTTGACCCCTCAGGGCCCCGGAGCTCCCCTAATGGCTGGAGGCGGGATGGCAGCTGCAGCTCCTGCAAAACCCATCAGTGGTGACCTGGACTCTTCCTTGGCAAACCTAGTGGGCAGTATGTATTAATTACTTAGCAATTAACTAACATACAAATAATATCCAAATTATCAAATTATTGAGTGATTCGTTTTGAAATGAAACATAAAAGTATTACTGAAAGCTCAAGAACAAAGCTTAATAGACTACAGATGCATAAAGATATAGAGTGTTAAACAAAAAAGTAACCCAGCTTACCTTTGTCCCACTTAACCAATAGTCACCGTAGACATACATAATTGCATGTATTTTCTTTTATTCTGGGGAGGAAGTATTATTAAATTTTGTATTCATTATCTCTATGTTTTCTTCTCACTGAGACTCTAGTTGTTCCATTTTCTGATATTTTGACATTCTTGCTCTGATAAACACCCCTATCACATGACCTCGCTGTAACCAGTGAGAGTGTTTTCCCATGCCAGTGTCGAAATGGGAAGCCTGTTCAGTGGGATGCTCTAAAACCTGCCTAGACTATCACGGTAAACCATGCTGTTTCTCCTCTTACAGATCTGGGGATGACGTCTCAATCTAAGTAAGAACAAGACTTAAATATGCTTGAACATGAATAAATGTTTTCACCTCTGTGAAAGTGTATGCATATCTTCATTTGTCGATTTCTCATAAAGCAACGTTGTGTTTGTTAAATTCAGCCTGTTTAATCTTATGGCCACTTACAATACTAAACACAATAGAAATGGGAACATATGTGCTGTTAGTTGAACTTAGGGCTTGACTGACATTGCTCAAGTGATTGGTCAGCATGCAGATTGACACTGGCTTGCATTGCTCAAGTGATTAGTCAGCATGCAGACACACTGGCTTTCATTGCTCACGTGATTGGTCAGCATGCAGAATGACAACGGCTTGCATTGTTTATGTGACTGTTCAGTGTGCAGAATCAAACTAGCTGGCATGGGACACATGATTGATCAGCTTGCAGAATGATATTGGTTGGTGTTGCCTACATGATTGGTCAGCCTTTGGAGTAATAGCTGATTATTCTCCTCCCTGCAGCATGCAGTGGAATGAGAAGAAGATGACAGGAGGGGCAGCCTGGCAACCTCAGGTAGCTCCCACTGGCTGGGCTGCTCCTGGCCCCTCAATGGTAAATGTCGTGTGGAGTGCTGTGGGTGTGAGCAGGCCGGGAGAGGTAGGTATGGGGGTGGGCAGGTCGGGAGAGGCAGGTATTGGGGTGGGTAGGTCAGGAGAGGCAGGTATGGGGGTGGACAGGTCGGGAGAGGCAGGTATTGGGGTGGGTAGGTCAGGAGAGGCAGGTATGGGGGTGGGCAGGTCAGGAGAGGCAGGTTTGGGGTGGGCAGGTTAGGAGAGGCAGGTATAGAGGTGGGTAGGTCAGGAGAGGCAGGTTTGGGGTAGGCAGGTTAGGAGAGGCAGGTATGGAGGTGGGCAGGTCAGGAGAGGCAGATGTCGGGGCTGGTGGATGGGGAGATGTGGGTGTTTGCTTCTGGTGCAGCAGAGAACTGCACACTGCCACTTCCTCCCTCAGAAAGGGAGTTTTAATGGAGCAGTCAAGTCACAAAGACACATTAAATAAATGCAACTATTAAGCCAGCAATTTGGTCTGTCTATGTTTAACAAGTAACCATAAGTAAAATAACTGGAGCAAAACAAATATCTTACTTGATAAAAAGTCACCTTGGAGACAATCGTGTACAGCATTGTGCAGTTTTTTCCGCTGTTGACCAGTGTCCTGTGGTGACATGTGAGTTTATAGACACACTATGGATGAGTGTAACTCATGCCTAACCCTACCCTCCGTAGGTAGGTTAGATGTATCAATGCTGATTCCTTGCTGTGCACTGCTCAAAATATCTGTGACCTTGCAGTTTTAGTCCGGTGTTCCTGTAGATGTAGGATAGTAATGTTCCTGTACGCTTCCTGTGGCTCCTCCCAGCCTGGCCCCTCCCCCGGGGTTCCAGGGGGTATTCCACCAATGGGAATGATGGGCACACCCATGGGGGTACAGCCTGGATTTGGAATGGTAAGAACTCTGTTCAGCTAGCCTTATCTTTTTGCTGTATGGACATCACTGCTGCGGATGGGCCTGCCTCCAAGAACTGCAAAAACCATCCCTGCCCTGGATGGCCCTGTTTCCAAGTTCTGCTAAATCATCTCTGCTCCCATTGGCCCTGTCTCAAAGTTCTACTAAACTACCTTTGCCCCAGAAGGCCCTGTATCAAAGTTCTGCTAAACCATCTCTTCTCCCGATGGTCCTCTGCCGAACTCATCCCTGCCCCAGATGGCCCTGTCTTAAAATTCTGCTAAGCTACAGTATCTCTGCTCCAGATGGACTGGTCTCAGAGTTCCGCTAAGCCATCTCATATTCCAGATGGTTCTGTCTGAAAGTTCTGCAAAATCCATCACTGCTCCAGGTGGCCCTGTCTCAAAGTTCAACTAAAACATCTCTACTTTAGTTGGCTCTGTCTGAAAGTTCTGCAAGAACCATTTCTGTCCCAGATGGTCATGTCTCGAAGTTCTGCTAAACCATCTCTGCTCTTGATGGCCCCATCTGAAAGTTCTGCTAAACCATCTCTGCTCTTGATGGCCCCATCTGAAAGTTCTGCTAAACCATCTCTGCTCTTGATGGCCCCATCTTAAAGTTCTGCTATTCCATCTCTGCTTCAGACGGTCCTGTCTCTAAACCGATTCTGCTCCAGACCACCCTGTCCCTAAGTTGTGTGATGTTCTCACTATCTCCTTCTGTCCTCCCTAAACTCACAGGCTTCTTCAGGACCCATGATGCCTCAGATGTTCCCCCAGCAGCAGCCAATGATGAGGCCACCATTTGCTGGGCCAGGTGCCCCTGGAATGGGTCCAGCTGGAGCAGCGGTAAACCCCTCACCACACAAACATACAGACCCACATGCACACTGGGATAATTGTCATACACACAACATATTTACTCTGTGCTATTAGTGCAGCACTGAGACATATCTATCCTTCCACACATGCTCTTCCCTCTCCCCCAGATGTCCCCTGGGATTCCCCAGAGCCCCAGAAAGCCACCCCCTCCCAAGGACCCCTTGGCAGACCTAGACCTTAAAGATTTCATGTAAAAGCTGGGTAGGTATAGCTATGGTTTCTGGCTATTGGTTGCTGGGTCACTCCCTAACATGTCGAGTAATATTGAGTAAATGTTGACTGTAATAGTGACTAGAATATCAACTACACACAGCTCTCATCTTACATAGAACCAACTTAAGTAAATCCGGACTTATACAAAAAATTTCCAAAGTACAGAGTCTATGGGAACACAAAAAGGTGACATGCACCTGTAAGTAAATTTATGCTTCATTTTTTTCCGTTTATTTATGATGTGTTCCATAGTACGTATTACTAATATATTTTTGGCTTATGTGTTTTTTGCTATAAGGTGCCCTGAATGGTATGGGAAGGTAAATCTGTCCGATACGTAAAATCTGACTTACATAAGGGTTTTGGGAACAGATTGCTTGCATCAGTCAGGAACTACATGTACTTGGACCTCTGTAAACTTCATTGCTTAATGCTATCAGGTGGTAAATGTTTTTAAGCATTCGTATATGTGTTCTGTAAAACAAGTAATTTCAACCTGTGGTCCATGACCCCCCACCCCTCATGGGGATCTTTATGGGAGCAGCTGCAGGGGGTTTGTAGATACATTGACAATTTGACTAAATGTCAGTATAATGTCATGAGCAAGGAACATGAAAATCTGCCCCCTGGTGGTCCTTAGTTTTCAATTAGTCATCTGCTTATACTGTACTTTAGAGGCTCCTTGGTATAAGAGAGGCTGAAAATCCCTGCTATTGGAAGCATTATACCAACAGTTTAATGTCTTTCTTTTAGATCTGTTACAGCCGAAGATAGGATTTTATAGCCCTTGGTAGATGTAAAGTGGCTGTTGATGATCCTATATGTTAGACTTAAGTGATTTATTCTTGCTTTTTGCCAAGATCATTGTCTGACTCTCACTTTAACCCCTCTGCCTCCCTCTAGTGGCTGTCTGTGTGACGGGACCCAGAACGCCCTCCATGCTGTGCCCAATACAGCACTGGCGCTCCACAGTCTCCCGTCTGGTCCAAATACAGCATTTACAGTTCGGCCCGATGTTGCAAGACACTGTGAAAATCAGTTGTGGGGAAATTTCCGCTCCTCTGGACATTATCCTTTACCTAAACACAGTAACTGACAATGCCGTGTATTTTTGATGTTTGCCATGTTGAGAAGTAGCTATCATAAGGGATGTGTGTTGATCTGTTTCCATGACCCGGTGCCCTCAAGATGACGCTAGTGTGAGCTTCCTGTTGTGAACTGTTAACGTTTGTGTGCACAGCTCCCATGCGGCGATACCAGTAGCTTTCCTGTTCCTCTTTGAAAACGTATCGATGTGAAGCAAAAATAGTCACATGACCCTAAACATATTTGTAGCCATAGTGTTGGATGTGGCATCAGTAGTTTCTCACTTCTGACATGCTCTGGGTTGGGTGTTTTGCCCTTTTCTGGTAGTGCCGTGTGCTCCATCTTAGCTGTTGTGTATACTTAACCCGGTTGCTCGTATCTGTTTCATTGATTGTCAGTAGGAGATATTCTGACAAATTGTACCATATCTTCTGTATCTTCTAAAATGGATTGTAATTTAACTATTTTCAAATATGAAATGTGCTTCATTTGAATGGGATGGCGTTCTGCCATGTCAACTAAGCTCAGGCACGGCAAGAAACACAGATAGGCACCTGTCTTTGAGAAGGAATAAAGCACGTTTACATTCCCGTCTGCTCTGCAGCCTTCTCACTGTCAGAGCAAACTGGTTACCAGCACTGTACTTTTGGTGTTAAACTGGTTATTAAAAACTAAGTAACTCTCCTTCTATTGCACATATGCAAATGTAATTGCAACCCCTTCTGGATACTTGTGTTAGTGCAATTTTGACACATTGTTGCTGCATGCATAGCAGTAATGCCGCACCTGCAATGGTGTGGAATTGGCGTGGTACCTGACAACCCATTCACATGCACACACACACACACACACACACAAACACACGCACGTACACACACACACACACACACGTGTATCTTTAAGGTTTATATATATTTATATACAAACGTACATACATATATATATGTGTATTGTGTGAATATACATGTGTGTGTGATGTGCGTTTGTGTGTGTGTGTGTATGTATGTATGTATATGTGTGTGTGTGTGTGTGTGTATACATACAATACTGTGCAGAAGTCTTTGATAATAAGTGTATATTTGCTCAGAAAGAAAAAAAACACGAATATTACAATATATACTAATCAACGGTAATGCAATTGAAATGGAGAGGAATTTCTTATAGTTAACGATGTCTTGTTGGACGGCTAGGAGAACGATGGCTAGGAGAACGATGGCTAGGAGAACGATGGCTAGGAGAACGATGGCTAGAACACTGATTCCCAAATCGATCCTCAGGCAGCCATTCCGTGTATTTGTTAAACTTCACCACCAGCTACGTAACGAATGAACTTAATCAGTTAATAAACTTCATGGGGTATTGATTAGCCAAACATTGTGTGTTGTGGTTCTTAATACCTCATTCTCACCGGTGTGTTGTGGTTCTCAGAAACTGAACACTCCAGCGGGTGTCTTGGAAGAGAAGCTCAGTAAAGCTGCATTCATGCACTTGGTAGATGCCTTCGAAATGTCATCACAGGAAGTCCACAGTCTTTAGTACACAGTTATTTTAATGCAGCTACTTTTGATGTATATTAAATAATATAAATCCTGGGAAAAAAACATTTGCATTCAATACAGAGACAGTACAAAACACCTAGAACTTCAAATAAATTTAGCACCAAAATAGTCACTTAATACAGCAGCTGAAACACTAGGTACGGACCAAAGGTAGAACAACATTTTATTTTTAGATGTGAAATGAAAACTATACGTATCAAAAACAAACTGTAGGCTTTAATGAAAAGAAGACATTTCATTCATATATAAGTGAATCATAAGCAACATTAATGAAGAAAAAAATATCCATTCAGTCTCATCAAGATGAATCAAATTGTTCTTCCAAAAACGATTGTCAGTTGTTCATAATTTTATGCCAATTTGAAATAAAGGTTTAAAATCATTTACAAATGCATCTACCTACTGTTACACCCAGTTAAATACTTTCTGGTAGTAAATAAAACTAGATAAAATAATCCTTATGCAAATGCATGGACATCGCTCTACTCTGAAGCAGTGGGAAGCTTTCATTGATCTCTCCTATTTAGCTAATTTCACACATCTTTTAATCCATCCTAATGTTTACAATCAGCACCGACTATTGCCTTTTGAGAAATTTATTCAAATTATATATTTGCATTCAATACTTAAATAAATTAAAACGCTGACCATATATACGCATTTTAAAGTCTTCTGATATTGTTTGTACAATTTTTAAATCGACAGAAATCTTCCGAAGCAAAGAATGTTTTGGGACAATAATCTTTTTATATCAGTGTTTTTCACCCCAGTCCTCAGGGAACCGCAGACAGTCCACATTTTTGCTTCCTCCCAGTTCTCCACACACTCACACTAGGTATTTGGTGCACTTGATTGTTTGGTTCAGGTGTGTTGGGTGGGAGCTGGGAGGGAGCAAAAATGAGGGGCCCCCTGAGGACTGGGGTGAAAAACACAGTTAAACATCATTTTAAAGCCAAACGTGGGAGGTAACGCACAGCATGGCTGGACCTGGTTGGGCCTGCGGCTTCATCAAAGCTCACGGCACAGGCTGGAGTCACCGTGAATCCAGTGACAGATCTGGGCGTATTTCGCTGGCGTGATCCTCACTGCCACATTGTAATCCCGCTGCTCTCCGTTCACGTCCACCCACTTGTGACCCGAGAACACCGCGATGATCTTCCTCTTCCACTTCTTCTTTCCCGGCTCCTTCAGGCGGATGTAGACTCCCGAGCCACCAGAGCCGGGCCGGGCGTCGCAGAACTGGTATAGCAGGTCACTGGACTCGTCCGACACCGTGCAGAACCGGTACACCAGCTGCTCCGGCCGGTCGTCGTCGAAGCCGGAGAAATGGATGCGTCCGGCTGGCAGCTTCTTCACGGACGGAATGATGCCCAGATCCATGAACTTCTGCTTCTGTGGGCGCTTCAGATCCAGCAGGGCATAGTCGTAATCCATGGCCAACTCCTGGGATATGTTCCCGAACCAGCCTTTGGGAATCCGCATCTGCTTCACCCGCGTCCATCGGAATGAGGGCCGCGTGGCTTCGGTGCTGCGCCGGCCCCGCCTCTTCTTCCCCCTCCGCCTCTCGCCTTCCCCATCTTCCGCATCTCCTCCCTTCCTCTTCCCTCCTCTCCCTCGCCCCCCTCGCCTGCCCGCCCCGCGCTTCGATCTCAGCTTGAGCATTCCCACGCGCAGCCTCTGGGCCCCTTTCAGGTAGTCCCGGCCGTCGTGGATGCAGTGGGCGGCAGTGAGCACGTGCCTCGGGGATAGCAGGATGCCGGAGCAGCCGGTGGAGACCTTCACGGTGGTGGAGAAGGGGTAGTTGGTGGTGTACTGCTTGTCGGCGATCACAAAGCGGCTGTCAGTGCCATAGACCTGCCGCTTCCTGCGAGAAGGAGCGGGGGTGGAGGCGTTGTAGCCGTGGTTGGCTCGTACCCCTGCCAGGCCCTGCAGGGACACCTCGGTTAGTGTACGGTCGCCGCTCTCACTCACGGTCTCGTAGGACAGCAGCTCTTCCAGATCCGCCATGCTAGGCTCGGGGATCCGACTCTGGCACTCGATCCCACACATGCTACGTGGCTCCCTCCCGGCCTCCGCCATGAATGCCGGTTGCGCCAGGACCACTGTCTGCTTGTCCCGCAGCACCGGCATGATGTTTTGTGGCCAGGTGTACTCATCATCATCATCCTCACACTTGGCCATGCCCACAGCCACACCCAGCGTCAATACTGACAGCAATATCAGGGGTACAGGGCCCATTGTGCAGCTGGTCCCGAGTCTGGGAAGAGAAGGAAAGACTTTAATTAAATTTTAGGCTTACTGTTTAAAAACATCGTCGTGCTGACATTTCTTTAAGTAAGCCTGCCTGGGCTGTGGAGGTTCACTGTCAATTCTTTGGTCATCAATACATTTCCAAAAGTCACAATGGCTCCGTGGGTAACACAGTGACCTCACAGCTTTAGGGTTAGATCGCCAGCCCTGACTTCCTGCAGGAGGAGTCCTTCCGGGCCAGCAGATGGCGCTCAAACCCACAACTCCGACAAGACATGCAGTTTACCGAATGTTACAGTTCATATAACCCGTAGCGTAAGTGAGCGTGTGCCCTGTGATGGGCTAGCATCTTGTCCAGGGTTTTGTTGTTCCTTGTGTCCCTATACCTTGTACTTGATAAGTGTTTGAAAACGGATGGTGTGGGCAAGTGAGCACCAACTTGCAGGGTATGAAGGCACACGTATTACCAAAGAGCACTGCGAACACAATAAACGGGAAAAATATCACTAGCTTGTATTCTGATAATCAACACAATGTAAAATAAAGTTGTATCATTAAGAATCCAATTCCGTTATTAGGATTCTTTTTTATTTCTCTAAATATTATTTCTCTCACATGTGTTTTAAATAACTTTGACAAATGATTTGGACAAATTAATTCTGGGAATCTTTTTATAAGAAATAATTTACGTCAGAGTTAGGATTATTATGTGTGAATTGTTTTCATAAGTCGTCCAGGTTGCGGGTTTTAGTGGAGCAGCGCCAGATTTCAAGGATAAAGCTATTTGGATCTTTAACCATCAGGTGGCGCCAGTGAGTAAAGTACGACCAAGAATTCAAATAGGTAATTTAGTTATTTCTTTTTAAATTACCATTAAAGGTAACTTTTAACCCAATAAAGTAACCTCCAAATACCTTTCATAAAGTTACAAAGCACACTGCTAAATAAGTTATACGGTACCATTAATTATTGAAAAAAACACACACACACATTCTGGTTCGTCATAGAAATTAATCGCAAACTAAATATTTAATTAGTTTTAGAATGCCACAGCAAGTTAAAATGTAGAGTAACCACTAAATTAATTCTGAACGCATGCGTCAATTAAAATCAGACTGACTTCAACCTGACAGTATATGTGAAACAGTTGATTTCATATACATAAAGTTAAAACAAATAATTATAGGGGTAGCATATGGATTACATAACCGCAATTATAGTTTTGGTTTACCTTTATTAACTAAATTTAACACTGACTCGAAGGTATTTTTTTTATACAAACCCAGTGTATGTAATATGTAATGATAGTTTTATAAAGGCACTATAACAACCACAGACCGCCCTCTGCTATCAATCAAGTAAAGTTAACTTGGAATAATGACTCAAACCATACCTGTAAGCATTCGATTAGAAAGTAATACAGATCCGTAAATGAGCTTGAATATATGCTTATGGTCCTCTTTGAAAAGGAGGCTCCTTTACCGAAGAGCGGTCCTGTGTACGGGGAATAGTGCACTTTTCTTCATAGCTTTTGTACCAAAGAAGCAGGACCTGAACCCCTCCGAATGGACTCGACTTGATGCCTGTGGGGGAAAAAAAAGCTGGGAAGAAAAGGCTGTTCATTGTGCAGACGGTGACTGGCGTAAGGGAGGGACCAGGAGACGGTGGAAGGTCTCTGCCGGCTGCGGGGTGCAGCGAGGCGCCCGCCTGCACGCATTCGCTGCATCTGGATTGCGCGGCAGGTACTTTCATACAGTATGCACCTGTTATAACGTTTAAGC